AACCCTGCTTGATTTTGAACTTCTGGTCATCAGAACTCTGAGAGAAAGAATTCACGTTCTTTTAGGCCACCAAGTTGTAGCAATTTGTTATGACAGACCTAGGAGATTAATAGTCACCAATGACCTCCATGTTGCAGTGCCTCAGACTCAATACCATCTCTCTCTTCCATTTTGCAACAGTAAACTCAGTTGACTCTTCCTTGCATGAAGCATCCTATAGCCATAGCTTCCAGGGAACTACGACCTGTTGGGTTCTCTCTCGTCTCTTTGTGAGTGCTTCCTCTTTGGGTTCTTTGTGAGCCTTTCTGTTCCCACCTAACCTCTAAATGCCTGCTCTTCTCCCCCTACATTCTCTCAAGGAATCACACATATACCTGCGGCTCTAAATATCATCTATATAACAAAGACTCCCAAATTGATGCCTCCAACTTACCCCTGCTGAGAGCTCCCGTCATGTGTTATCTCATGCCTTCTTGACACAGCAGCTTAGTGGTTCCATGGTAATATCACATATGAACAAACACAAACATGCAAAACATAATTCTTTACTTCCATGAAATGTTTCTTTTGCCCCCTCCCTAAACCCTGTTCTTCCTCTGGTTTTCTACTTCTGAAGAAATGGCATCTCTACCCAATACAATTGCTCTACCAGAAACCTGGGAGTCATTCTTTTCCTTACTCTCACATCCAATTCCTAAGCATGTCTCATCAATTTAACATGTAAAATGGATCTTGAATCCATTCACTTTTTTAAATATAGACTATCACCATTCTGGAACCACATGAACACAATGTCTAACTGGGTCTCTTGCAACAACTTCTGATGGATTTTCTACACAGCAGTTAGAGATCTTTCAACAGATCAGATCACATCATGCCCTTATGTAAAACCCTTCAAAGGATTCCCATTGAACTAAGCACATAAATCCAAACTATGAGGCCTTTTGTGACCCTGCCACACCTTCTGTCCATCCTTTCCTGCCCTGCCCATCCCTTTCCCGGTTTTGTCCATAGTGTTCTGTCCCTGTTCTGTCTTCTTTAGGCTCCAAGAATCTATCAGACTTTTCCCACTGTGGCCCAGCTCTGCCTGGGATTATCTCCCCGACACCGTCTTCAGCTCACTTTCTCAGAGGGAACTCCCTGATTGCAAACCACCCCCTCAGTCCATTTTACATTGGTTTCTCTTGTTATTCTCTATCATAGAACTCAAATCTTTCTACCATTTGCCACAATCTGTAATTACGCATTCCATCGTGTATTTATGTACCATCTCCCCTACCTGGGTGCCTTCAGAAAGCATCTGGGACTGTATCTGTTTCTCATCACTGAGCAGAGTGCCTAGCTCAGAGGCAGCCACAGATGGGATGCTCCATAAATATCTGCTGAATGAACTCTCTCTTCTACACCTTAAATGTGGGTTCTAGCAGGAAGGCTCGTCTGCTGAGGACACACACATCCAGAAGAATAAAAAACAATACCCTAAATCTACATTTTATGAAAACCCAAAGACGTTGATTTACAAACATATAAATTATTTTATTTACAAAGCCATGTTACAAAAAAAAAAAAAAAAGCCAAAAGAAAAAAAAAATACAATCGCTCACTGGAGAATGTCTCCAGGCCTGGTGCTGAACCACGGCAGTATCAATAGATACATGTTTGTTCTTTCCTTTTTAAACTGTAAGCCATAGAATTTACTATTTACACCTACTTTAGACATTTATTCTGCTTACAATATCACAGGCATGGAATGAATTCTATCTGATAGTGCTAATACATAAAGGTGCGGGACAAAGAAGGAAAATACTTAGTGTTACAAAATATGGATCGTAGAAAAGAAACCCACTCCACAAGTGTGGCATTTGTTTAGAATGTTTGGACATGCTTTCTTCAAAATTTCTGGAAAAGGTTCTAAAATTGGTAGTAGGAAAGGACAAATGAGCAGGTGCAAATTCTCCTCTGTGCAACAACAGTTATTGAATATACCCCATGACTGACCAGCTACATAAAACCCACAGAGTTTTGTTAAAGTGCCATGGGCTGACAGCATAACAAAATAGAAGGTGTAAATAGAAAATTTCTTTTTTTCCTTTTTTAAAACAAGAGTTCACTGAGAATCAGCAATAATAGAATATGCTGTATAAACTATTCTCTACAAAGGTTGATCAGCATTATTTACAATTGGTACATTGATACAAAAGAAGGCATACAAGTTATCCAGGTCGCTTTTTTTTTTTATGGCTGACAGGTCTATGCATTGCGTTACGCTTTAACAACCAGAGCTTTCGAGCCTCTACGGCTGGCGACAAGTCACAAGATCTTCAGGCAGATGGGGGTGTGTGCAGTCAAGGGGCTAGGAGAGAGGGCTGAGTGGGGTGTGCAGAACAGAAGTACCCAAAGGATATTCCCCCAAAAATGCTTTATAGGCTGGTCCAGTTGAACTCCATCCAAACAAACTGAAAGAAAACCTTTTATTTGCATTCCATTTTTCAAGCTGTGAGTTTTGAATACATCATTATAAAGTAAACCTGTAGCTGACTGTGAAGGAAGAAACACCGTGGGTTTTCCCTTTTTGCTCAGTTTCCAGAAATGTCCTCACCTTGGTCAGAGCCAGTCTTTCACCAAGTAAGCAGCATTCAGTGGGGAGCCTCTTTATTCCAGCTTGCAATTCAAGATGTAGAGAGCTAAAATGTTTAAAATCCATTGAATCGCTCCTTTAGTCCCTGTCGAGACATTATTTCTCAGAAGCAGCCACTTAATCTCTCAACCTTTGTTTTCCCTCTTTGAGTGTAAGAGTTTGTAAATCAGAGGGTTATTTTGTTGCTGAGATTTTTTTTGTTGTTTTCACTCCTGCAAGTATTACAACTCAAAATAAATTATTAAAAAAAAAAAAACAGACTTCTAAAACTGAACGAGACGAAAATTGTGCAAAAATAACAAAGATATGTACATACTTTTCAGTCTGAAGAAATGTACAATAAAAACATAATTCAAAGAACATTTTAAAAATATAAACATTGCTTCAACTTTCCTAAGTTTCATATTGTTTCTGAAACTATTCTGGTCAGTTAGCTCTGTAATATAGTAAAACATAAATTATTACAAAATTAACACTATAAAAATTTACTTTAAGAATATCTTCTAAACTTTTTTCAAAGGGTCTAACCTTGTTTATAATTTCTTAAACATTTATAAGTCTTAAAATCTGCCTTAACCTTTTTTTTTTTTTTAGAAAAAGAAAAAGTAACAATCTTCCCTTCAATTTGCAGTCTCTTTTTCCCAAGATGGAAATAAACCAGCATATAAGTGCACTTTTAACACTGTAGAAATAAAAATGAATTCATCTGAACTAATGTCCTAGTACCTAATATCAACTCCTGATTTTTAAAAAAATCATTTTATATTAAAAACTTTAGTAATCCTACTAAGAAACACTGTCAGTGCAATTCCATTGATGCAAATCACTCCGTTTGCCTCCCGTCTTTGCAAAATCCAATCATATGGTGAAATTTAACAGTAGTCTGATCTTTGGGTTTGGAGGGAATGGGAAAGAAAAGGAAAACTTTAGGGTAGGGATGAGGGTTTACATCCAGCGGCAAAATTGGCATTCATATCTGACTTATGGATAAAGCAAAAACTCCTAGTATCTCTTCCATTATACTGTACACAAAGTTACATGATTCATAGCACAGAACACCTATTTTATATGGGGAACTCCTTTCCTGATTACAATTCCCAATTAGAGCTTATGGTATTGTTTCTTTCAGAACTCCAGTGTGAACAGTGTTGTAGCTGCAGGCCTCCGGCTTCTCCCTTCCGGCTCTTCTCCATAAGTGGTGGCCTTACCATTCTTTCCTGGGTGGCTGTGTTGGAATGGGGGCCTCTGGCCAAGGGCACGGTGGTGGGTGGGCAACGCTAGTATTTATTCTCAACAGGGGTTTGGCAATTAACCCTCCACAGCAGCTTTCCCTCAAGCCCTTGCTTCTGGCCCGGCTTTGCTCCTCTTGCCAAGCCCCAGAAGGCAGCGTGAGAACGTGCACAGCCCTGGGTACCATTCCTCCTCCTGAGTGGCTTCCTGAGGTCTCGTGCCCCTTTCCCTGGAATGCCTCCCCCCGGTGACTTCCTCGGCCTTGTGTCCTTGTACACGGTGCTCCGGGAGGGACTGTGCAGCATGGAGGCCTAACAAGCTCAGATGATCACAGCTACCCAATTCCCACCATCTTTTGAGGATGTCTTTTCCTACCCCCACAGCACTCTTCCTGCAGCCTTGTAGGTCTGTTCCTGCCCCGTCCCTAACCCAGTACATCTGTGAGCTGCACAGCTGCGTAGCGGTACTGAGTGAGCGCCATCATTAAATGCTCCTGTTCTCAATTCTGCATCTGGTTCCTGCCATTCTGCTGCCCCAGAAACCTGATGGGGACACTTGGCCCACCCTCCAGCTCTCTGTTCCCTAAACACAGGCAGCTCCCCAGCAAAGCCCCTCCCCCATCAACACACGGTCCAGAGGGGAGGTATGAGAGCCTGTTCCTCTGATGGCCAGGGGGGACCCAGAGAGTGGCAGGTAGGCGGGGACGGGAGGGAAAGATGGAAGAGCCCAAGGAAAGGAGCACTGAATGTGCTCAAGTTCAAGAGTTTCAGACGAGGCCAACCAGGAACAGACATTCTGCAATGTCTGCTCTTGCGGCTGGAGCAAAATGATGCAGTAGCAGCATCAGAAGCTAGATGAGTGACTCCAAACTTGGAAGAAGGTATACACATGGCAAATCAAAGAACGGAAACAAAACACTGGTACTTGTTTTCTGTAAATCTCAAATTCACGTTCTTTTGCCTTTTTCTTTTTTCCTCAAAACTAAAAATTGGTCAATTAAAAAAAGAAGAAAGGCCAGAGCCACAGGTAGGGCATAGGAAACAGACTCCCCCACTGCCCACTCCCCTCCCTCCCCTGGTTGGGGTGGGGTCCCGTGGCCAGGCATTGGTGTGGAAGTGGCTTCAGAGTCTTGTTATGGAAGAGTCCTTATCCTGCCCGTTCTGTTTGTGTTCTTCTAGGAAAGAAAAGAAAAAAGAAAAAGCTTGTTTCAAAAACATACATCTGGGGTTACCTACAAGAGTTCAAAAAGATAGCCTCATTTCCTTATCTATAATAAAAAGGACACCATGCCACTTCCTGCATTCAGCAAAAGCCAGTTGTGAAGAACAAATGAGGGGACTGAAGTAAAGGACTCGGTAAATGGAAGGTAGCCACAAAGGTCCCAGCTGTGGAGGAAAGCACATGGACAAATCCCGTAGATTCACAGGGCTCCCTCCAGCAGGGAGGACTGGGACAGCTGATCTGTTTCCTTTTTTGTTTTGTTTTTCTGTCCATCTTTTCCTAACGAACCCACAGAGAGCATGGAGAATTACCCAAGGAAGAAGTATAGTGCTGGGTTAAGCATAAAGGCTTTGAATACACAGGTTTGGTTCAAGTTCCTTCACGTTCATCTGCAAAATGACATTTTGTCCCCAAGATGACCAGTTTGTTAAAAGGTTGAAACGTATGTAATGTATGTGAGGGGCAGAGCACACCACCTACAGGGGAAGAGCTCAACAAAAGAGAGGTGTTGGTGTTATTGTTACAGTTAGGCTGTCTGTTAAACCCCATTGTGGGTTCCCAGCTAGTGTGCCTAGAGCTGTTGTTGACTGCACAGGTGCCTGTGAAGGGTCAAAGTGGAGTCTCCAGGCACACCTTGCAACCTGTTCAGAGGCCTGCTGTCAACAGATTCCTGGAGCCCCGCCTTCACCCGAGCACAGAGGGTGGGCTGCAGGTGCTCAGTGCAAACCCCACCACAAGTGACTCAAAATGCTGGAGATGCACTCCCTGATCTGAGGATACAAAACTGTTCCCTATTAACTTTCACCCACACTCCACCCAAGGTTTGTGGGAAAACGCCAAAGGCCAAAGTGCAGAAGAACACTGTATCTCTGTATCTATGACTCATATGGCACTCCTGAGACAATGTTAACAGCCATACACATATTTTTTCCCATCATGTACAACCCTCCCTGGCCTCCCCAGGACGTGCACACACTCCACTGGAGAAAATCACGTCTACACTGTTTACACACCTCAAGTTTATTAAAAAACTCTTAAATCTACTCTGAACAGTTCCACCATGAAACCACATCCTGAATGATAGCTACAGCTCACCAGAAGCCTCGAGAAAGTGCTGACCGATGTCTGCCAAGAGTAAGGCCCGTTAGTCAACAGCATCTTATTTAACTTTCACAGCGACCTCAGAAGGTAGGTGTCCATTTTGCCATTTAACGTATGAAAAACCTGTGACTCAGAGAAGTAATCCGCCCAACATCATGCAACTGCTAACAGTGAAAGCTAGCATTTGTGTGTGTTAGGGCTCAGGCATTTTGTAGAGGCTTTATGTCAATGAATTAATTTAATCCTCACAAAAGCCGCATGAGATAGGGGTCATAATGAGCCCATCTTACAGATGGAAACTGTAAGCACAGAGAAATGAAGGAACTTACCAAAGGGCACACAACTAATTACCAGAAGGCCTAGTTTTAGACGCCGGGCAGCCATTTTCTTAACCGGAGATGAGATGTGAACCAGGGTCTGACCCCAAAGCCCACGTTCTTTCCACCCTGCTGAAGACCCTAAGGACTTCTGCTCCCCAGTAACTTACCGGTCGGCTGTGTCCTGGGCTGGATATGCTTGAAGGACTGGATTGTGACAAAGCTAGGCTGCTATTTTTCCCAACCTGAAAGACACCAGTGAAGCCTTCCTCAGACATGGGCGTCAGCTTGGGACAGACTCCCGGATACCACGAGTCGCGAGGGGAGAGGAGGAGGCTTCACAGTACCTCGCAGGCTCTCCTCCTGTGGTGTGGAACTCGTGTTTCCACCTTAAATGTCAGAAAAAATGGGTATGTTTCAGGGGGCCTCCACCACACCCCTCTCATCCCAGAGGGAAAATTGAGGGGAACTCTCAAGCCATTTCCCAGATGCGCAGACTGCAAGTTTTCTGGAGGAGGCCCAGTTTTCCCACCTGTGACTGCAGTTCCTGACCCATTTTGTCTCAGGCCTAGACTCCCTTGGACTGGCTGAGAATGAATGCCTGCGTTTTTTCTAAGTTTTCCCAGCACACTCCAGGTCATTGTTAAGAAATATGGCAAGAGGCACCAGCTTTGCCTTACAGTGGGAGCTTAAGCCCAGTCCTTCCTAACTTTCCCCCGGGGTGTGTGGGCTTGGCCATCGTGCTCGTGGTGGGTGGCGTCCTCAGGGGAGGAGTTCGCGCTCCTCGCCTTTTCACAGATACCTGCCTTACCTTCCGGAAAAGGCAACGCCACCCCACTCCAGTACTCTTGCCTGGAAAATCCCATGAACTGAGGAGCCTGGTAGGCTGCAGTCCATGGGGTCACTAAGAGTCGGAAAGGACTGAGCGACTTCACTTTCACTCTTCACTTTCATGCATTGGAGAAGGAAATGGCAACCCACTCCAGTGTTCTTGCCTGGAGAATCCCAGGGACAGGGGAGCCTGGTGGGCTGCCGTCTATGGGGTTGCAGAGTCGGACACGACTGAAGCGACTTAGCAGCAGCAGCAGCAGCCTTACCTTCGCAGTCTTGTTTTTTGTTCAATTTAGTATCTCCGCAGCGAATTCTGGGGCCTTACAACTACCAGATACAATTAAATAGATCCCCTATTGGTCCCCAAATCATATTTTACCTTGAATTTCTCACCCTCATGCCACATCTTGCCCAATCTCCTAAGAGAATCTAAAGGCCTAAGATTTCCCCAAGGGCTTAGATTTCCCCAAGGGCTTAGATTTCCCCAAAGGCCTAAGATTTCCCCAAGGGCTTCCTGAAGGGCTTTCCCCAACACCTGGAAATCACCGGTGGTGACCCTGGACAAAGCCTTTTCTTAATGGCCTGGAGACAAGCACCCAGATATCAGCTGCAATAGAGAACCAACACTGACTGGCTCCAAGGCAGCCATTACATTCATCCACTCTTTTTGATTTCCCTCCTGATGAGCACTCTATCTGATGGAGGCTTGTCTGCTCCTTTCACCACTGGTTTTGACTAATTCAGCATGCTTACAAAACATTTCATATGGTCCTGCACATCAAAGAATCTACAGTACCACATTTACTTGAGACAGAGGCACTCCACCCATACAGAGGTGCTCCATCAATAGAGACAGAGATGAAAAGTCCAGACTCCAGAGGCAAACTGCGTGGGTGTAAATCCCAGCCCTAATTTACTTGCTGTGTGACTTTGGGCACATTATTTAACCTTCCTGTGCCTTGGTTTACTTATCTGTAAAATGGGGGTAATAACAGGTGAAGATTAAAGAATATGTGAAGGGCTTGGACCAGAGTCCAGGCCATAAGTAACGGTTAGCTGCTAGAACTTCATTGAAAACAGGTGGCACTATAGCCTTGCTGCTCAGTCTGTGGCCAGCACACCAGTGCAGTGGCAATGCCTGGTGTCTGTTAGAAATGCAGACTCTCAGGCTTCACCCCAAACCTGCTGACTCAGAATGTGCACTTTATTGAGAATCCCCTGGTGATTCATGTGCACATTCAAGTTTAAGAAGCCCTGGATCTGCCCTCCATCCTGAGACCTGGAGGTGGCAAGAATGAGCAGTTATTAGTTTCAGGGTGGGGGTGCCCGGTGGGTGCTGGTCCTTCTCCCCAGCACCCCTGCAAATGCAGATGTGTGCAACTGTCTGGGCCCTGATGAGACATAGGGCCCTATGTACCCCTTGCAGACTTGGCCTTGGGTTGCAGATTGTCTGGCCCTTGAGATCCAAAATTGCTTTTCTCGCACGTTTGCTTGTGTTTTGTGAATCCCCCTCAAGAGTTTCTCTTCATGAGGTTTTAACAAGTCTCACACAAAGATGATGAAAACCATGAAAACATCTTTTAAACAACTGCCTCTCATGCTGCCAAAGCCCTCACTCCCAGACAGGGCTGGGGCCCACTGAATTCTGTCAGCCTGGGGCTGCTGCTGCAGTCCATGCACACTGTCCGGCGAGGTCCCCCCCACTGGCCTCAGCTCGCAGAGACCCCAGGCAGCCCCTCCCTACCTCTCGCTCCTTCCTCTACACACAAATGACACCAGAGTTGGACGGGAAGGTTTCCTAAACAGCGATCCCGGCCGGAGAAGAAGGGAAAGACTTGAAGATGAGAACGGGGCTCCAGGGAAGAAACATGTGTTCTCCATGGACCACATCCCATCCCCCCAGCTTCCCTCACGGCACCCGCATCTGTGTATAGTGGCCTTGAACACTTCAGTGCCAGGTGGTGTGAGCTGCAGTGTTACTTCAGGAAATAAAGAGTTATCTTAGGAGTAGGGAGCCTGGTCAAGTGAGAAGCATAGCACCCCCCAAGGTGGGACCCAGGTCATCATGTAACCTGCTAGGCCCCAGGTTCTCCCTAAGGGGATGCCACTAGATCAAACTGCTTGGCAACAGAACTCTTCAGTGAAATCATCCAGACTGGCAATAGAGTGAGGCGGGGAGCTCAGAATCTCTCTATGCCTTAGTCTGCTCATCTGTACAGTGGTGATTACAACAGCATCAACTGCGTTGGGCTGTTGTGAGGATTAAATGAGGTGATAGTCATATAGGACTCAGAATAGCACCTAGCATGTAGTGGGTACTGTAGAAAGTGTTACATAAACTTCTCTCAGAATAAGGGGTGGAATCATCTAGAGGGAGATCAAGGAGGGGACTCATGCTTGTGTTACCTATCTGGGCCACCTGTTTGGACCACTTGGCTAAGTCGGGGGGCACTGCCGCTTCCCCAACCTCCCTCCCTGGGCAGTGCCAGGAGGCTCCTGGAAGGATGGGCCCCTTACCTGCCGAGAGGAGGTGCTGTTAACAGGATCGGGCACTGGAGCAAGAAGGCTGGGCGGGTTCTTTCTGTGAACGCTATTCATTCCAGGCATTTTAGTGATTTTACAGGCTTTGCTACTAGAACTTGAGTTCTTACGCTTTTTTCCTTCTGATTTGTCAAAAGAGAGGGGCAGAGAAGACACAGCATTGTGTGAGGCCAGAGAGAGATCCCCTGCAAGGGAGGGCACAGAGAGGGGACAGGAATCACTGCTGCCGCCCCCAGAGCCCACGTGTCTCACTAGGTCCGTGGGGCCGCCAGGCAGCGAGGTCCGTCCTGAGGGCTCCAGTTTGGCACTGAGTGGGCTCACCCCATTGTTTGAGTTGTGCACAGACAGACTGTTATAGGGAGGGGCCGCCTGATAGGAGTTCAAAGCAGAACTGGCATTCAAAACACAGTTCTTTTTGTGGGGCCCTGACAATGGGGAGGCGAGGGATGTCTGCAGGGGTAATGAGGAGGAAGAGGAGGAAGTCGAAGACTGCGGCTTCCTCTTTTTGTTACTTGGAGACTCGTCGCTACGGGCGGACAGGTCTTTGACTTTTGAGGATTTGCTGGTTTTGGTTTTGGATGGCTTGTGGGATGGGGAAGCGATGACGGCTGGTATCGGGGACACGGCGGGTGGGGCCTTGAAGGTTGAGTCCATGATGCTGAGGGTTGCGGCCACATGAGGGAAAGCTGTGGTGTGTGACATGAGGGCGCTCGGGTCCGGCGATGTCACAAAAGCTGCATTTGAGAGCATGGCTGATGTCATTATGTAAGAAGAGGTGAGTCTCGAGCTGATGGGAGCTGAAGGAAGATACACAGCACTGGGGTTGCTGAAAGGCTGTAAAACGGATGCTGGAACAGGGGTGGTGAGGTGGGCTGCTGGCGAGGGCATGGGGCTATCTGCCGCAGGAGGGATCTTCCTAAACGTGAGAGAAGAGTGAAAGAGAAACAGTGAGAAATAGGCTTTGCATTGCTCCAGAAGCTCGATTAAGTGTGAGCATCAGGGCTACAGAGAAAACCCTGGTGGAAACCAGACTATGGAAAATGAAGCCTTGAAGGATGGCAAAATCTGATTTATGGCCCTTCCCTATGGTTTCCCCCCATTGCAACATCCGGCAAACTAGTTTTAATCACTTTCAGGTTTTCAGATCCTTTTCTCCATGCTTGGCTATTGGATAATGGCTGATTTGGGTTCCCGAATAAAAGGCGAATGTTAATTAGAATAGAAATTGCCCCAACAGTATCCCCCCGCTTTCTTGCCCCTGGCAGTGATGAAGGTGATTTTTAATGAGAGGTGGTCATTTCATACTTAGGTCCTGGCTTGAAGAAGGGTGAGGACGGGGCTGTGCCACCTGCACATGGGGGCCAGAACATCCCCCCATGCCCCTGCAGCCTCTGCCCCCCTGCCTCCACACCCTGCTCTTGACTGGACTCACCCCTCTCCTCACAGGCCAGTCTGCCCCTGCATGCGCTGTCTACAGTCTGGTTACCCTGTAGAGAGGCACTGCTACATTTGTTCCTCTTCACCTTGCTCCGCCTCCCCACTCACTCAGGAGCTATCACTGGGGCATGGCTGTTCTTCAGCAGGTCTTCCTGTCCTCGGGTTAAGAAGTGGGGAAGGTAGAAGAATCCTCATAGATCCAGAGAAGGGGATTGGGAAGTTCTAGTTTGTTCTGAAGGTAGATGCAGGAGAACACATGAATGGGGGGGGCCCTTCCTGAAAGCTGGAGTGGGGGGTACCTGGGAAAAAACTCTGCCTCCTACACTCTGTGGAGCCCAGGCCAGCAGCAGGTAGAGGGTCACCCAGGGAGTCTCCCCGCAAACTCCATCTTTTGACTCATGATGGAACAGCTTCTGCTTCCAAGCCGTGGCCTTGGTGCATGTTGCTACTACTCTGGGGACCAGGAGGAGCATGGGGACTCGGGGTCACCATGTCCCTGACTTTTCAGGAAAGGATACAGACCTCAGGAGAGAGGATACTGATCTCAGGAGCCAGGTGCATATTTTCAAACAGGTTCTTTCCTGTTTCTCACCTTGCTCACCCCTCCCTGTTTCTACTGGAAGTCATTTTCCATGTAGCTGGGGATCCCCAGAAATTAGGAACTAGCTCTGCCTCTTGGAAAGCAGCACTTGAAGGTGGGCAGGTGTAAGATGGTGCCTCCCTTCAGCAGCAGGACAAGCCAGGGAACTCTGGAAAGAGGCCCCGTCGAGGAGGACATGCCTCTCCTAGCCTTGCTCTCTCCGAGGATTCCGTTTTCTGCCTGCAATTTGGTGAGGCCCATGGCTTCCATCTCTAGGGTGGGATCCAGGGGGATCCTCAAATACACAAGTGCAGTGTCCTTGAGATCATCAGACTGAGATCAAATATAGGAGAAAAATGTTGCCAAACTCAGCGTGGCCATAATGGTGTTTGAAAAATCTATTTTCTCTCAAGCCTAAAGAGGGTAAAAGATGCTATCAACACTAAACAAGGGCTCCATTAATAGTACTTGTTGCAATGAATGAATGACTGAATGAATGGATGGATGGGTGGGTGGTGGATGGGTGAGCAGATGAATTCTCAGCAGCAATACAACAAAGCATGCCAGCCAAGGACTCCCATAAATCAGATGAGAAAGGCCTAAAGACACCCTTAGAACTGTCTGGCACTGCACCACCCCTCTCTAACAGCACCAGGGCCCATTTCTCAGAGGGTGCAATGTCCGCACACCACATTGTCTCTGCTGGCTGCTGCCTCCTGTGGTTCTCCAGGCATCCCACTCAATCTTTCCTTCACTCAAGTTTTGTACCAGCTAAAATATGGGTAGGAGTCCATATGGGCAGAGTTCTGGCAGTTACTTGTAATAAAAAGTTATTTACAAATACCAGATGGCTCATTTAGAGAGGGCCCCAATCGATGACCATAAGTGGGATCCATCTGAGCGTCCTGATCTGGCATTTCCCCATTACAGAGTCTACACTCAGGTTTCAGCCTGTGCTGACCAGAGCTGAAGTCCTCAGCCTGCCCTGGCTGACACTCAGCACTGGGATGGGCGCTATTTTTCTGCATACCTTCTACCTCTTCCCTTCCTCCCCCCACTCATCTTAAGTGGACAGCAGAGGCAGGAGGGGCGAGGGGGCAGGGGGCGAAACAGGGCGAGGGGCATGTGGCTGCTCGCTGTCCCTGGGAACCCCTTCCCCCATGCTAGACAGTTCATGTGCTTTTCAGGTGCCAAAAGGCAGTGGATTTCAGCTTGGTGGGCTGTGTCCCAGTTGCAGCTTTACACGCTGGCCTAGGGAAGTCCCATACAAAAGCCCCCAGATGCGAATAAATTACAGTGCCCATCCTCCCCTGCCGGCTGGCACGGAGATCCAGATGCTGACCTGGCTGAAAGAGAATACTGTGTTGGCGTCTCCTGATGCAGAGTTAAATGCTTGTTAAAGAAAAAAGAGTCTTGGCCGTTCCTTTTCTTCCTAATGTCTTCCATGCCCCCATCGGCTGCCATCCCTCCAGGTTCGGGCCCGTCGGGGCCTGGGGTTTGGGCAGCGAGGTTGAGAGGGCAGCGGGGTGCTACGCTCTCCAGAGTTGACACCCAGGCAGCCCCAATGTTGCTCAGTGACAGCAGATTTGTTAGGCAAGTCCTGAAAAGGGGGGAGGGACCTGATGCCCTGTGGCTCGGGTTTCTGTGCCTGAGGAGGAAAGGAATATGGACTTGAGCTGACAGGACACCAGGCAGCGAAATACAGATCAACACATTCCTTCCACGTGTCTGGGACCAACACTTCCACAACACAGGAGAGCAGAGCTGCGGGTCACCAGGGCCAGCTGCCATGCTGGGGGACCCGCGCACAGGGTTCAGTCGCCTGACACCAGGGGTACGGGAACCCCGCATGCAGCCTCTAGGGTGCCGCTCAGAAAGGACACAGGTAGAAAACGGGTGCCCTTGAGACACACTGGGCAGTCACTGAAGTGAGAAGAAACCATAAGCTTCTCTTGTGGCCCTTTCCTACGTCACAAGAAGTGTCAGCGTGTCATCCTAAGTCTGCGTGGAGAGCTTACAGCACACGCGGTGGGGCTTACTTCTAGTAGTCCTGGAAGCTCTCAGGGCGTCGTGGTGAATAGGGGCTGAGGGGCCATCACTGTCTGGGAGAGAGGAGGCGACCTGGGAGTGGGCAGGTTTCGAATGCTCTTCCCATCCTACCCTAGGACCTAGTACTGTTTCTCAGGAATGCCTTCCCAGCCTTTCCTGGGCTTCTCTGGGCAGGCTGAGCGGTTTGATGGTGGCTTTCCTAGACCATCTGGGCCTAGAGCTGAGGGATCCATGATTCTACAGATGATGAGATCTTAAAAGCTCACCTTTGCAGGGGTTGGGGGCGGCTGGAGATCGCCAGGGGGTCAGCCTGGCATTACCAAGTGTCCAGAACGGCAGTTCCTTAGGTGCTGTTCTTTGAGAGGACCTAGCGTGTCACTCTGTACAGCAGCATTGCATTTCCCTAAGTCAAGAAGGCTTTTTCCCTTTCTATGAATCTATTAAAATGTAAATACATCGAGAGGTGTTGGAGAATAAAAGGACCATAGAGAAATGGGACGTAAGTTCGGTTTAGGGTAGAGAGAAGTATGTAGACAGGTGAGGAGAGAGTCCTAGGGATGTGGGAAGGGCCAAAGACAAGCTTAACCAACTTGGCAACATGGTCCTGGATCTGCCCTGTTTGGCCACGCTGCATAGTTTTTCATAGGACATTAAACAATTGCAAATTGGTCAATAACCATTATGAAAGTTTTAGTATCAATTTCTAGCATTAACATTACAAACAGAAGCATATTCTTATATCCTTAGATAGTCTTAGTCATGGCAAAAAGGCCCTTTAACACTTAAATAAACAAGGTCTTATACCCTTCCATTTACTTAGAAGATTACCAACATAAAAGTTATCTCCAAAGAAGATAAAACACACCACACATCGTAGTTGTCTCTGAAAAACTACAGGCAAGCCACCAAAGGGGGCTGACGGTCAAGAATTAATCATGAATTCTGATTTCAGAATCATTTCATTCAACAAAAAGCCAACTAGGGACATTCATTTAGAAAACTGGGGTTCAGAGGGTTGTGGGGCAGCTCATCTCATATTGCACAAAAACTGCTCACTTACTTCCACATCTGTGAATTCAAGTGTTTTTCTACCATGGAGTTTAGTGCGAATCGAAAACGATCCCATCTTCTATCAAACACATAGTACCCTCGTCCCATGAGGCGACTCCCAAATGAGCAAAACTGTGAGGGGGAAAAAAAACCACATTTTTAACTTTGATTACAGGTTAATAAGCTAATACAAGCCACACAGAGACAAATAACATTTACATAAAAACACACAGGGGTATAGTTTTCCTCAAAATAAAGAAGCAAATAGTACCGAAGCCAAAAATATTTCTGTGTGAGCTCCCAGATTTTCTGCAGAACCTCACAGGGTGAGTCAACAATAGTGACATTCAATCGTCTGTGGCACTGAGGATTACCTCCTCTATCCCAGGGACTGAGCCAGCACTTTCAGTTGAAAAAAATAAACAAACCAACAGCAACAGTAGCCAGGATGGTTTTTCAGCACCACGGGCCGGTCACATCAGCCATCTTCTCAAGGAAGCCAGGCTTCCCTGCTGCCCATCACAGTAATGGCAACAGCTGGTTCTAAGGTTCTCCTGTCGACGGATCATACCTTTCCTATCTGTTGTCAACAGAGCCACTTCCCTTCCAGCTGGGGCTGAACCCCTTCCTCTCCTGGGGTCAGCCTCATCTCCCCTCCCATCAGCACGGCCAGGCTGCCTGGGACACGGCCACCGCCGCTGAGCTCACTCTCCTGCTGCTTCTCCCCTCTTCTCTGGGCTGTGTCCAGTTCTCTTCTCCCTCAGGGCCTGAATGAAGACTCAGCTTTCCAGTCGCCTTCGTCTGACTTACCTTGCCACTCTGAACTCCCACAAAGCCCTATTCACACTTCAGCACCTTCCACCTGGGAACAGCTATGTGGCTGCTCTACGTGACACTGAATGCTCCTGTGGTGGTCTTGATGACTACAAGTGTCTAAAGGCCAGAGACCCCCATTCTCTTCTTCTCCCTCCTCAATATGAGGCTAGTAGGGATTTAGGCTAAAGGATGGACTATAGAGATATGGTCCTACAAAGTATTCAGAGTGAACTCACACTTTAAACATAGGGCTGAAACATGAGCAGTTAGATGGTTAATAAATGTCATTTGATGATGATGTTAGGACACCCAGAAGGCCAGCAGACAGAAATGCAAGAAGGTGACATTTGGCTGGTCAGAGCTCAGGCAAGTTTGCGAGTGACTCTATAACTCAAATGCAGCTCCTCTCCCTCCCCCAGGCCTCTCCCAGCAGCTCCCTGGACTCCGTCCCAGACACAGTGCTGGGCTGGCACTCATTCCACAAACGCTTCCTGGAACCAGTCTTTGGAACAGTTCTCAGGAGGAAATGCAAGACCTTCCCTTTGTTTTGTTTCTGCTTATGTTTGGGGGTCGGTGGGCGGGGGTTGCACTAAAATCTTGCCACCCATCAAATCTGGTACTCCTGATGAAAAACTCTTTTCCGCACATTAAGTGCTTACTGGCCAAGCCAGAAAACATACAAAGGGAGTTCTCCCACATGGAAGCTGGTCCCCAACAGCATATAGGCACTGGTCCAGGTCCAGACATTTTTTCTTCTTTCGTCTCCTTGCTAAAGACACCCCAAATGAGGGTTCATTACAAAAATTGATTTAATGTATCAGTTGGCCATGAAACAAAGGACAAAGCAAAGAAACAAATCCATGGCCTTTCCATTTAAATCAGCAAAACATGAAGGGCACACAAATCTGCCAGGCTCCAAGTTGAGCTAATCCACTATAGCTTGGCAGCATGTCATTTGGACAGAGATCTTGATGTGCTCCAGAGTCTGGCCTTCTGGTAGAGAGCCCTGTCTCACTTTCAGACTTGGAAGCTGGAGGCCTCTTAACTGTCTGCGCTACCTACATCTCTAGTTCAATAGAGATGCAAGGCTCAGTGCCCCAGAGGCTCCTGTTCTTAATTGCATATGGTGCCCCAGGCAGGGCTGTAGCTCCTTGCAGCATGGGCCACTGTGGCAGACCCTACTAGTTGCCAAGCTCATCAACTACCACCTTACCCCCCAGCTCTCCCTGATTTTTCCTGGCTAAGAGAATCATGCTTTTGTTCTGATATCAGTCATGGAGCAGTGAGCAGGGAAGGTGGGTTTCTTCCCAGAACCTTGGGATGAATCATGGTTGGGCTCATCCTGTGTGCTGTTTTAGTTGCTAAGTCATGTCCGACTCTTTGCGACCCCATGGACTGTAGCCTGCCAGGCTCCTCCATCCATGGGATTCTCAAGGTAAAAACACTGGAATGGGTTAACATTTCCTTCTCCAGGGGATCTTCCTGACCCAGGAATCAAACCTGCATTTCTTGCATTGGCAGGCATTTTCTTTACCACTGAGCCACCTAGGAAGCCCCATCCTGTGTTCCTACAAGCCTATCCTTTGCCACTGATTGGTATAGGGGTAGGCATGTGACCTACTTCTGGTGGATGGAAGAGAAGGTCTGCTGGGAGGGCTCATAGGAACATCTTCTTCCCTAAGAAATGACATAAGAGCATCTTAGAGGAAGACCCTCTTCCTGTTGGCCCCTTTCCCCACTTTGTAGAATGTGACTTGGTGAGGATGTGACGTTGGAGCCGGAGCCGACATATCCAGACTGTGCATGAATGGCAAAAAGGGTTGGGGAATTCTCCCTCCGCAATATGACACTGAAGAGATGCAGAAACAAGCCTCGAACCACTCACCTCTAGAATTCGTGCTATATAAGACAAGTAAATGGCTGATGCGCATATATGGTATGACTTGAGTTTTCTATCACTGACAGTCAGAGGCATTCCTAATCGTCCCTGTTTCTGTACTAGCCGAAAGGTTAAGTCTCAAGCTGTTGGTGAAGCACACTGGTAGAATTGGGCAGGGAGTCCCTCTCCTGATGCAGGGTTGATTTCACCTACATAGTTCATGCGATCCCGGGACAGTCAGAGCTAACCTTGAAGGGTTCACGCTGGGACCAGAGCAAAGCAGCTATGGGGTCCCATGTTTCTGGCCTCCCTAAATTCGGCTCTGTTGATGGTAGCATCAGGCATTCCTTTTTTAAGTGCTCACAGGGCCAACATAAACAAGCTTCCAGCTGATGCTTCCTTATACCTCCCACCTGGATTTCAATGACCTTCTGAATTGTTAAAGTGGACTCTTCCAAGGAACTGGGGAGAAACTGACCTTTTCATTAACCTGCTATCATGCTGACATGAAATGCTTCCTTCTTTCCTACACATACACATACACACACACACACACACACACACACAAGTTTTGTGCCATATGGTCACACCTCCTAAGAACAATAAAACTCAGAACCAACAGGGAAGAAAACCAGCCAGGGCTGGCACCTGGCACATTGCTCAGACAGACAGTTCCCAAAGCAGGTGAGCCAGACTGATTCTTGAAATCAGAGGCTGCCTTTCAGATGGGCAAGGCAGGAAGGTCAGCTCCCCAGTGGTCTTCTATGAACACCGTTTCTCAAGCATTATCACTTCAAGGTGCAGCATAAATACTCAGGTGCTTAAAGGATTATGATCAGCTGGGTGCCCTCACCTTTCCTTCTGTGATTTTCAAGGGGATTTCTAAGGCAATCATTCAACCTCAGGGAAAGCCCTTTCAAAAAACACTGTCCTGGAGGCCTCTGGTTAGGAAGGATGCTATCGGAGGATGCAGTCCCCTAAACACCACAAAGCGTGGGGAGAAAGAAATGCCGGGATGGAAACAGAAAGAGGCCTACCGCAAGAGGTCTGGGGTGGTGGGCAGAGAAATGACAGTCTGATAGCTTCTCGGATTCATCGGTTCCGTCCATCTCCCCTTCATCACTTGACAGTCGGCTGGTGAGGTCACCTCCAACTGGGGGCAGAGGGGGTTCCGGAGTGTAGCCACTGTGATTTGAAGACGTGCTGCTGCTTATGCTATTTGCAGAAGATGGTCTAAGGGCAAGAGAAAGCAAACAGAATAAACTTTTCTGAGGGAAACAGACCCACCCAGTTTCACGGAGCTCAGAATCAGACCAATTAGCCTTCCCCATACTTAAGGAAGGCAGGTCGATGACAGACCTGCACAAGGGAAAAATTCAGGCTGAGAGGAGAGGCAGCGACCAGCTCTCTACGCGATCGGGTAGAGCTGAGACTCTGCCCTGCCTGAATGCAGGCACCAGGGAAAACTCCAACAGTGTAAGCAGAACAGAAAATACAAAAAACAAACTCGTGTGGCAGAGAATTAATTCAACTTAAAACTAGTCATCTATGAATTCAGTTACAACTATTCATTCATTTGCATGTAAGGAATTTACACTTGCCCTGCAGTTGCTTCTCTCTGAAAGCAGACGGTGATGGGAAGATCAACCAGATAAACAAGCTCAAATCAGTCAACAAAATGTCAGTGATGACGAAAGACAGCCTTACAAACACAGCTACTGAACTATGACTTTATGACGTTGTTCCCATACCTACATGAAAAAATGTTTTGTCCCAGATGGGACCACAATTTCCTCACCCTGAAGCCAAGCCTGTTTCTTAATATCAAGTCACATGTAGTTTAATTGTATCTTCTGAGGGTGAATGTTTCTATTTAATTTTTGACAAGCCACTAGACCCACAGATTGGCATGGCTGACTCAACAGTAGGTGTTGAAGAAATATGTTTCTCAATGAAGGAGCGAATTAATTCCATGTGTATAAACAATCCAACAGATCTCATCCCAGTCATGGCTAAGCTTATAGAAAAGCAGTGTCACAGTGAGAGGCAGTACCAAGGCTTTCTAAGCAGTGCGAAACAAAAGAAAACACATCTCCACATCAGGAGAAGAGTCAGAAGAATGGTCAAAGCTAGTTGTTAGTTGTTTTTTTTTTGTTGTTGTTAGTTGTTTTGATTGACCAGGGAGACAGTCAGGGAGAAAAAGAAGTTTTAGAGAAAAAAAAAAAAATCGGATTTTTTTTTTTTGATGTGGGCCATTTTTAAAGACTTTATGGAATTTGTTACAATATTGTTTGTTTTATGTTTTGGTTTTTAGGCCTGAGGCAGGTGGATGGGATTCTTAGCTCCCGCATGACCAGTGATTGAACCCACAGTCCCTGCATTGGAAGGCAAAGTTTAACCACTGGACTGCTAGGGAAATCCTCAGGATCTTCAAAAAAAAACCACAAAGAAAGGTTTTTCTGCATTCTGCTTTGAAAGCTGCCCCTTCAAGTAACATGAAGGGGCTTTTACTCATATATCTCTCTTCTCTCCCTCATTTTCACCTTGGACACTTTGTTGTTTGAAATCTTTCTAGGTGTCAAATACCTGAGTTCAAACCTGATCCCCAAAGCACAGTCACATAAAAACAAAGCCACAAAGGTGGAAAAAAAATTGATTGATGAACGGATAAAGAAAACATGGTATGTCCATACAATGGAATATTAGTTAAGTCTCAAAAGGGAAGGAAATTCTGGTATATGCTACAGCATGGATGAACCTTGAAGACATTATGCTAAGTGAAATAAGCCAGTCACAAAGGACAACTATTGTATGACTCCACTTAAACAAGGTATCTACAACAGTGAAATTCAGAGGCAGAAAGTAGAACGGTGGTTATACCAGGTGCTGGGAATGGGGACTTAAGTGTTTAATGGTACAGAGTTTCAGGACTGAATGATGAAAAAGTTCTGGAGATGCATGGTAGTGATGGCTGCACCACAAGCTCCTTAATGCCACTAAAAAAGATTTTTCTTTGCAAAGAAAAGCTGGTTTCCATCTTCATCTGGACCTTGCTTCTTCTGGATGTGCTGCAGCCATCTTGCTACAGACTTTGAAGATGGAGCCGAAAGGCTAAAGAGGGTGGAATAAAAGGGCAGAGAAGGACAGCCAAGCCCTGATCTCTGGGGTCTGGTGCCCGTTCACCTCTGGACTTCCTGTCACCAGCAGGAAGAAATTTCCTAGTTACTGAAGTGGTTAGTAAGCAAGGTTTTTTGTTACTTGCACTTGAAATGTCCCAACAAGTGTAAACAAGAGATTTTACCCTGTTTGTAGGAGACAGACTGTAGCTGGAGAATGTTAACTAATGGGAAAGAAGCTGAGCTACCACAGAACCCTGATAAGCAGGGCACCGTGAACAGCTCGAGCTGCAAAAGTCACAGATGAGGTGAGGACTGAAAATAGCCAGAGAGCTGAAAGGCTTGATATTGGGTTGTTGGACCCACAGGTCATCACTCCTCACATAGCCAGATGACTTAGCACTGCCCCACCTGCCCGCTCGCCCTCCAATCAACTCTCAGAGAAAATGAACTGAGATTCTAGACAGGGGGCCACCAGCAGAGACTAGGAGGGAACACAGGGCTAGAAAAAGGGGGACTGTGGGCTGTCCCTGGTCAGATCCTTAACTGGCACTCCCGGAATGCCTGCTGCCCAGCACATCAGCAGGCAGGATTCTTCCCTTGGGAAACTTAATGGTCGCAGAGAAAAGGCTTCCACACTTTGCATAAATATCAACAAAACGCTGACTGGTGATGTGATGACCTTATAGTTGACAGTCCCACACACAGACCTAATCAGCTTATTAGAGTCTTTCTTTTAAAATGAATGGTTAGAAATCACCAAACATTCCTGAAACAATGTCCAACATTAGGCTGACCAACCAAGCATCAAAAACATAAACACATACATGAAACAAACCTGGGGGAAATGAAGATAGAGAAAAAGAAAGAAAACCAAGAAGCCTATCTTCAGAGATATCAGAATGGTATCACTTCTGCAAAAGATGGTATCTTGTAGGATATTATAAAAAGCAATCAGATAAAAAGAATTGGATCCTGGTGACTTCCTTGGCAGTCCAATGGTTAAGAATCCACACTTCCATTGCAGAGGGCAATGTTCCCCTAGTCAGAGAACGAGGGTCCTGCATGTCACATGGTGTCATCAAAAAAAGAAAGAAAAAGTAAAAATCAGAACCAGATCCTAAAATATAACAAGCAAATTATAAATTATTTGATATACAGTTTTAAAGATAAAGTAAAAAAAATTCTTTTAGACAGTGGAACAAGAGATTGAGAGAAAACAGGACAAAAGGGTAAGAGAATGAAAAGATCAGAGCAAAAGGTCCAACACCCAGCTAATAGGAGGTTAAAGAGAATAAAGCTAACAGCAGGAATAAAATTATTTAGGATGTAATAGAAAATATCCCAGAAACAGGTGTTTCCAGATTTAAAGGATCTACTGAGTCCCCAGTACAATGAATGAAAAAAGACCTATATCAAGGGTGATCCCTGGGAACTTTCAGAGCCCCATGCTTCAGAAATCAAAAATGGAATCAGAATGATACTGAACTTCTCAATAAAAATCTTTGATGCCAAAAGTCAACTGCTCTCAAAATTCTGTAGGGAAATAGTTTTCAACCCACATATATATTCAGGGAGATGATCAATTAAGTGTGCTGCTGCAGCTGTGTGAGAGTAGAATAAAATCATTTTTATTTTATTTTATAAAAACTTTTTTTTTAATTTATAAGGATTCTAAAAATTGACTTCCCATGTCCCTTTTCACAGGACGCTAATGGAGAAAACACTTCGTCAAATAAAGGAGCAAACCAAGAGAGGAGGCAGCAAGGAGCCCCAGGAAAAGGGCGATCTAACCCAGAAAGGGTAAAGTGAGCCCCAGGATGGCAGGAATTACTGTTTTTCACTCTTTTTTAGGACTATTTGGTTTTTGAACAACATGTCTACATTCAGTTCAGTTCAGCGCTCAGTCATGTCCAGCTCTTTGCGACCCCATGAACTGTAGCATGCCAGGGTTCCCTGTCTACCATCGGCTCTCAGAGCTTGCTCAAATTCATGTCCATTGAGTCAGTGATGCCATCAAACCATCTCATCTTCTGTAGTCCCCTTCTCCTCCTGCCTTCAATCTTTCCCAGCATCAGGGTCTTTCCAATGAGTCAGTTCTTCACATCAGGTGGCCAAAGTATCAGAGTTTCAGCTTCAGCATCAATCCTTCCAATGAATATTCAGGACTGATTTCCTTTAGGATGGACTGGTTTGATCTTTGTGTACTCCAAGGGAGTCTCAAGAGTCTTCTCCAACACGAAAAAATTAAGTTTCATTAAGAGAAAAAAAACATCTGGGGGCTTCCATGGTAGTCTAGTGGTTAAGAATCTGCCTACACAATGCAGGGGACACAGGTATGATCCCTGGTCAGGGAAGATCCCACATGTCGAGGGCAACTAAGCCCCTCGAGTCACAACTGCTGAACCCACATGCCCCAACTACTGAAGCTGTCATGCCTAGAGGCCATGCTCAGCAACAAGAGCAGCCCTGGTTTGCTGTGACTACAGAAAGCCTTCTGGAAGCAACAAAAAGACCCAGTGCAGCCAAAAATAAAATAAATAAAAATTAAACCTCCATGCTTGCACTGCAGGTAGCATGGGTCTGATCGTTGGTCAGGGAACTAAGATCCCACATGCCATGCAGCATGGCCAAAAAGGAAAAAAAAAATTAGTAAATTCCAGTTGCCAGACAAAAGAGAGGAGGCGAGGGAAGGAGAATCATGGAGATTCATGGAGCATGAAAACTGCAGGTTCCAGAGCAGAAGCAGCTCTGAGAGCAAAGAGAGAAACATGAAGGAAGGATGCCAGGCATATGTGTGCCCATGTACGAAGAGGGGGCTCTGAATCTTTTCCTTTCCAGGCCTGTGTCACTCAGGGTGTGGGCACCCTCCTGTCAATGACGGAGTAGTGGATGCTTTCAAGACCTCCTTCCAGCTCTGACTGCTGCCCTCCAGGGTGGAACTTGGAGGGATGGAGTGTGCTGGAAGCAGCCTGGGTCTCTGAAAAGCCAAGGGTTGGTGAGGGTGACGGGAAATAGGGCTACTGGCCATGAGAAAGTGTGGAAAAAGTCTTGCATGTGTGTTAAACTGCTGTCCAACCTTCCTTCCTCAGCACTACATCACACCTTCCCTCTCCACTTACCAATCTGGTCTAAAGACAGTGCATATGATGACGGTCCCTGTCCAATTCCCCTCAGGGAAACTTAAAGTCCCCACCCCCACCACTCTGAGAAAGCAGGAGCATCAGTCGAGTGCTTTGGGGAAGAGCACGAAGGAAACTGACCTTAACTGAGTCCCTAGTGGTAAAGAATCAGCCTGACAATGTAGGAGACACAAGAGATGACGGTTCGATACCTGGGTCAGGAAGATCCCCTGGAGTAGGAAATGGAAATTCATCCAGTATTCTTGCCTGGAAAATTCCATGGACAGAGGAGCCTGGTGGGCTACAGTCCATGGGGTCACAAACAGTGGGACATGACTGAGCACACACACACATGATATGTGTAGGCACGTCACATATATTTTCTCATCAGAGCTACCCACTGCCTTAGGCGTGTATAACTATGACCTACATTTCTCAGATGAGGACACTGGTTGCCAAGCTAATAAAAAGTGGAAATGAGACGGTCTGTCTGCTTGACTTTAAAGCCTGAACTACTGAGAAATGGGTAGGAAAAGCCCAGGGACAAACCTGTCAAGGAGAGAAATGGTTTCCACTTTGGTGATTATACTATTAATGAGTCACGAACTGAAGTAGCTTTCACTGCAGACTCACCTCTGCCCCTTCTCAGGTTTCTAGGACCTTCTGCCTCTTTCCCCGCTGCCTTTGTCAGTCTGAGATTCATTGGTGTTTGCCATTTTACACTTTAAGGTGAGATGTGTGTTCATCTATGAGACAGAGGGGAAGGTGCCCAGACCTTGTCAGCATTGACCTCCACAGCTGACCTTTTCTCCCTCCTGAGGGCCAAAGCCTGGCTTGTTAGAGCCCAGCTCAACCCTCTGCACCTCCCCCTGCCTTTCCGAAGAGTCCTGATGGCTTTGGTTGGCCTGGTTATCCACAGCCCTTGGGCTCTGTGGGGAAAGCAAGGTGTTCCCTTAGAGTTGGGGGCAGGAAAGTAGATCATACAGGTATGTTATCCAAGGGCCCCCAGGTTGAGGGACAGAGGCCAGGAGGATGGGTGAATGGAAACCAGGTCTTGCCTAGGCCTTCACTGGCTCCCACTGCTTTCCCACTGACTACCACGGCCCTTCCTACCAGCTACCGTCAACTGAGTGCTTATTATGAGCTTGATACTCTCATTTAATTTTCCTTAGCTCCATTTGACAGATGAGCAGTTTGAGGCCAGAGAGGCATGACCACGTTCATTTAGTCAGCAGACAAGGAGTCGATTATTGCACTATCCAATCCTATTCCAACCCTTGCTAGTTGACTTTTACTCTTCTAATCCTAGGCTCAAGTTCCTCTTTTAGAAACCCCTTACAAGAATGGGTTGCAACTCAAAAATATGAGAACTAGAATATTTTCAAGGTTACCAAAATGATGTTTAAGAAGTAAATGCACACATTGTTAGCATTTCCTACAAGAGAAATTCACAACTGGGAAGGGATTACCATAATTCCACTCACAAGTCATTCTTTTGGCCAATTATAGATAATGAGTATGACTGAAATATCTATCATATCATCAGTATGAGGGAAATAATGGTTTTAAGTCTTATGTGAGTACATTAACTTCTGATCATGCCTTTTCGATCTCTGATAGCATGGGGTCTGGTTTGAACCTAAAACAATTGAAAGAGAATGTTATTTCCCACTAACTTTGGAACAGAGTTCACCCCTGAGTCTTCTGGGGCCTTGAAAAGCATCCTCAAAAACTATTCTCTTACCAACATTTGTAACGTGCTCCTTGGCCTCCCCTTTCCTTTCAGAGACATTCTTTTTGCTGATTAACCTCACCCTCTCTCTTTCTTCTGTTTCCCTAAAAGAAAATAAACACCTGGCATTTCTCTGTTGACAAATATTCCCCTGAAAATTAAAACAAAAAGAAACAGAAAGAAGCAGCTCTTAAGGTTGCCTGTTTTCATTTTTTAACGGCTGTCCCTGGTTTCACTGCGAAGCCAGGTACCACTGCTTGGGTGTGAAGTGCCTGCATCGGTCAAAATTGATGGAGCAGTGTATAATAAGAGAGAATTTTCAGTGGCTTCCCTGGCAGCTCAGTGGTAAAGAATCCGCCTGCCAGTGCAGGAGACATGGGTTTGATCCCTGGTCCAGGAAGATCCCACACACCATGGAGCAACTAAGTCTGTGTTCCACAACTATCCAGACTGAGCTCTAGAGCCTGGGAACTGCAACTACTGAAGCCCGCACACCCTACAGCCCATGCTCCACAATTAAGAGAAGGCAGCACGATGAGAATCCCACACACCGCAACTAGAGAGTAGCCTTCATTCGCTACAACTAGAGAAAAGCCCATGCAGCAATGAAGACCCAGCACAGCCAGAAATAAGTAAATAAAATAAATACAAAGTGGGGCTCCCTGAAGTTCTCAGGGATTCCCTGAATCCGAGGTGATCCCTTGGATGGGCAGTGGGTTCTGGGTACATGTGTGATGAAAGCAGGATTGAGATGGCTTCAGGTAGAGGCAGGTTTGCTTTTATATCAGGTACCATGGAAGGTTTTATGGGAATAAAACAGTTCCATTGCCACCAAGAAGTGTGAAAGCTAGTGTATATAGAACTGAAGCCCTGTCCAGAAGTTTGCAGCAGAACTGTCTCCTAGACTCTAAAGCAGGGGCAATCTCCTTCACCAACATCTGGCATTACAGTGAGAAGTCATTATAAAAGGATCCTGCAAAATGAGGGGCGGAAAGGAAAGTGGCAAGTAAATGGATGACGACAATGGCTCGACAGTGGTTATGATGATGGGGATGTGTGGGTGCTGACTCTGTCTGACTCCATCTTCCCAAATGTCTGAGGCTAAGGTTGGTGATTCCAGAGGAGGCCTCTGGCTGTCAAACTGGTCAGGTTTGCGCCAAAGTGGAAGGCACAAGACATCCTGGTAGGTTAGTAACAACTGTCATCAAATGTTTGCTTTTACTTTAAAAATAAATTCTATCCTCTTCTTCTATAACTCCATTCTTTTCATGCCTGCTTGCTGACTGGCCAACTACTCTTTGAGACTCACATTGTGTGCATTAAAAATCATCAGAGGTTACCAGTATCTGCACTTATATTGTATTATTAATGTTTCCCTTTCATGATGTTGTGGATATTTGAGTCTTATCTTCTGAACTCTAAATTCTTGAAAAGCAGGATCTAGTTTCACTAATCTCTGTGCCCCTGCCTGAGAGTACCTAACATAGTTCCTTGCTTATGGAGCAAGCACTCAAATATTTAGGGTTCCCAGTCTTATCACCTGGAAATTGTCTGTGGCTCAATAAGGCACTCCACTGGCTGTCAAAGCACACACATATGGATCTTAAATCACTCTAAATCCAAGTGGGTTTCTTTTCTTTTCTTTTTTTAAGAAAATTGAAGTATAGTTGACTTACAATGTCACTGTTTTCTATTCTTTCATTTCCTCCCAGGACAACCAAATAAAATCTCAAAGAAGTGGCTGAGCTTTCTTGGTGTGAAGGGAAATTTAAGGACAGACAGCTCCATCACACCAAATTTCCCTCCACCCCGACCACTGGAGAGTTGTGGGGAAAATGCACAAAATATTGTAACAAATGGGCTCTGCTGCTGTGCTGACTCCCCTCCCCTCCACAAGGCTTCCCTCTAATCTAAAAACCCAGGCGACCATGGGATTTCCCTGGTAGTCCACTGGTTAAAACTCTGGTGCTTCTAATGCAGGGGGCACAGGTTCAATCCCTGGTCACGGAACTAAGATCCCACATGCTGCCCAGTGTGGCCAATAGATAAATAAATTAAATAAAGTTACTTATTGAAAAAAACAAAAAAAAAAACACCAAACCAAACAAACCCACACCAGGAAGTTGCCTGGTGGCTGAGTGTCACTTTCAGGTATTTATTTCCAGCTGACTCTTGCTCTGTGAAAACACACGCTGTCGGATTTGGGTTTGTTATGAGGTATGACAGTGATGGCAACGATGACCACAGTGAGCATGACAATGGTGACAGCAATAAAATCCACCGAACACTACGTGGCAGACACTGGACTGAGCCCTCACACCCATTCTCTCATTTCAAGTTCACAACTGCCTCATTAGGTAGGACCATGATGACTCCCATTTCACAGGTGATCAGACCACACTCGACCCAGGCAGGCAGTCACTGGCCATGGACTCAAGGCTTCCATCGCCGAGGGGGGACTTACCTAGGAAGCACAGAGTTGGGTGGCCTGGATTTTGCAGGGGACGCGACTTTAGGTTCTGGGCCCGAGCTCCCTGAAGGTCCCGGCAGTGAGTCGTGCGCCGGCCCGGGGGGATTGGGAAGTACTTCCCTTGCCGAAGTCAGGAGATGCTCTTTATCTTTAACTTCTTTTTCCCGGGACTTGGCTTTGTGTTCCGCCAGGAGGAGGTCAAATTGCTTCTTCCGGCCCGGGACTGCCCTCCGATGGCTTAGTGAGTGAGTCTAAGGAGAAGAGAGATGGAAAGCACAGCCTCTTTGATCAGCACATAAACCTGCTTCCCCAGGCCCTCCATTTCAGAAACTGCAATTCATGGGAATTTAGAGGTGCTTGAAAAGTCAACTTCAAGGCAACAGCTCCTGTTCTGCGGCTGGGAAGAGGCAGAGACCACACAAAACGCAACCGTGCCCTACGCTCCTGGCGTTAAGGAGCCAAAGCTTCCTCCGAAAAATGGCCAAAGATGACGAGCTTCAGCGCTGAACCCCCGAGGACCTCCCTGACGACAGGCAGCGGTGAGGGCGCGCTGGAGTTAATCCAGGTGCAGGTGGGAGGCTCGCTTTGGCCCAGACACACAGAGACACCAAGCAGAGAGGGCCACGGCCTCCATCCCGAGAGGCACTAGCAGTTCAGTATGAAATACGGGGCTGGGGGCTACCCACGGGCGGCCGCTTCGGGTCAGCTGTCCCCCGGCCACCCCGCTGCGGCCGGATCAGGGGCGCGGCGGCTCGTCCTCCCCTCTGGGGCTGCCTTTCAGGGCGCTGCCGCCGCCGCCGCCGCCGCCGTGCTGCTCCTGCATACATTAAAACGTAGCAGGGTTTAGAACCGCCTGTGAGTGCCTATAAATACAATTTACTGTCTGGCCTCACAAGTAACAGGGGAAGCCTATTTTTTTTTTCTCCTTCTTAAAAAGCCAGCCAGCTTGAGGCAGGCACTCTGCTACCATGGAAGAGAAGAAAGCATTTCCCTTACAAAGAGCAGCTGGGGGTCGTGTCGAGGCTCCACACCCTGCCGTGTGCAGAGAGTGGCATGCAAACATTTCGACAAAGGCCCCAGCGAGAGCAGGAAGTATTTTTTATGGAAAGAGAAATACCTTGCAGGTGAGGGATCTTGTGCAAGGTTTCTTTGTCTCGGGATCCAATACTCCACAGTGTTTATTTGGGTCAAATTCTCTCTCTGGTTTAAGAAACAAACAAAAAATATAAGAAAAAAGGAGACTAAATAGGATTTGGCATTAAGACTACATTTTTAAAAAAATGCACATTTGCACCAACAAGTGAGACATTGTCAGGCAATCTGTTTTGTTGTTTTTTTTCCCTCCAACCGGCTGCTAAAATGCTTCCAGAACCGCTGGGGGAAGATGGCGCTTCTCTCTGAACCCAAGAGTTCCCCCGTCCAGCTTTGGTGGGGATGTGGTGGGGATGGGAATGCACAAGGGGAGAGGGCGGGTGGGCAATAGAGGGAAAGGGACCACGTGGTTCTCAGGCTTTATTTCACTCCAAACGTCTCCCCAGGCACCTCTGGGCAAAGCTGGCTGCAGACGGGGCAGAGCCACCGGAAGGCCCTGGGGCCACTTTCTCCCCCGGGGTAGCTCTGGGAATACATCACTCTCCCACACTGCCCTCCCACAAATGGCTCAATAGTTTGAGCCATTTGAGTGGGAAATTATTCCTTGACATGTCAGTGTGACCTGCCTCTCTTATGCTTTGGAAAGTCCTCAGCACAAGGCATTCCATGCAGCCTTGCTGCCTGGATTTCCCCGATTCAGGAACATGCAGACAGGGGCAGGTGTGGGCTTTACGCTGAGGCTGAACCTGCAGGTGTAAAGGGCAGGGCCTGCTGGCCTCACAGTTGCTCTGCCCCCAGCCTGGAGCCTGGTGCTCCAGAAGGGAGTGAGCCGGGCAAGCGGTCCCCTTGCCACCAAGGATGGTTGAGGGAAGCAGGCTTTCCCCAGCTCCTGCCTTCCCACTGGAGTCCTGATGGCCCCTGTCGAGGTGACTTCTAGGGAACCTGCTCTTTTTATGTTCATTTTGGATCCTTCTTCCTTCTGGGCTACAAAAATGTTTTCCTCCCCTAGAAAATGGAGGGTTGTGAGACAACCTCTTAAAGACAGTGCAAGCTTTACAGTTCCACCTCTTGATGGCCCGTGCCATTTCTGGAAGACACCCAGCAAACACCTGAGTCCTGCAGGGCAGTAATGACACGGTTCTTCTGGGCATTCACAGAGATGGGCAGCAGTGCAGGTGGGTGGGGAGGTAGATGGGTGGGTGGAGGGGCATGTATAAACTTGGAGGCATGTCTCCTTCAGGGCTTCCAATGGCTGCAAGCTATAAAGAGGTTACCTTGCCTGAAAAATTGTCTGAACTTGCTGGAGTAAAATCTGACCATAATAAATGAATGCACTCTATTTCTAAAAGAAGGTCTGGGAGCTGTGGGATTGTTGCAACAGTGGTGATGATGATGTTTGCAATAAAATCATTCTCATATCCAAGACAGATCTCCTGCTTGGCTATCAAAATGCATCCTGCCCCTTTCTTTTGCTTTTGTCTTCTTTTCTTAAGCTTCATTTTTTAAGAAGAGAAAACTGTTAGGCCTGGAGATGTTTGCTTCTTATGAACCCTCTCTGCCCACCGAGGAGGGTCTGGGCGCCAGGCCCCGGGCCGCCTGGTGAGAGTTCCTTCCCTTGGGCCTGGTGGAGTCAGCCCTGTACCCAGATCCATACCAGCACTCGTGTTGGCCTGGAACTGAACAGGTTGTTTGGCTGGGGGCAGGAGCTGGCTGCCAAATGTGAAAGCGAGAGAGAAATAAGCAAAAGACCCAATGAGACAAAACCACCAACAAAATGCAAAACCAACAAACACACATAAAAAGTCCCCAAACAACTTCAGATTAAGGTGCCGGCTGGAAGCCAGTCATGCTTCTGCCAGGACGAGGGAGCCCAGCCTCACTGCACCCAGAGAGATCCGCCAGCTCGTTCAGGGACGCCACCTCCTCTGCAGAGTGACAGTGACCTTTCTCTGCAGGAAGAGAACTAGGTGCATGGGGCTCTGTCCACACAGAGAGGCCCCCACCCTCAAAGACAGGGCCAGGTTCTGCCTTTCTTGTGGGACAGTGGGTGAATAGGACATGGAGAGATTTTCAGGGTAATATCACTGTGTCATTTGAACACTTTGGGTGCAACGTACTTTTCAGACCCAGACTTTTTAAAAGTTACAAACATAAGAGAAAACCTGAAATACAGATAAATACAAAGTAAAGAATAAAAATGACCCACAATTCTTGCGGGCACTTAGAAATTATGCTCATGCCAGAGGACACAGCTTCTCTCTCTGTGGGTAGTTTTCTCTGTATGGTGGACCCCTGAATAACTTGGGTTTGGACTGTGCATGGATATTTTTTAGTAGCATATACTGCAATACTACATGACTGGAGGTTGGCTGAACCTGAGAATACAGAGGAACTGCATACACAGAAGACCTACTAGAAACCATATGGGGATTTTCAACTTCATGGAGGGCTGGCACCGCTAATCCCTGCGTTGTTCAAGGGTCAACTATATTTTCTTTCTTCTGGTTAACACCTGATAAATGCCCAGGGTGTGTGAAGAAGTTATAAAATTTATAGCTTTTCTTAATCTTTTGGAGAAAGTAAAACTGCCAGATTTCCTTTCACAACAAACCCAAAGCAAATACCATCCACTTGGGGGACCCAAGGGCCAATCACTGACTTAAGGACTGGCCACGTGCACCTTTCTGGGTACCTCCTGAGTGCCTACTCTGACAACCAAGTAGATTGCAGACAGACCCCTCAGCACCCATCTGCTATGCCAGTCTGAGTGTTCCCAAGTGGGAATTCCAGTCTGCTTATGTGGGAAAGGCATCTGTAGCCCCAGACCACAGAATGAACCTGGAAACCAATGAGAACAAAGGTTGGAGATGGGCAGACAGCACCAATGTGACTGCCCCAAGCCTGCCCTCAGCTACAGAGAGGTATCACAGTGGGCTCTCCAAGTCCACAGCCCTGAGACTTTTCAGAATCCGGGGGCAGTTTATCCTGTCAGAGCAAGGACAAAACCCTCCAAACCCACAGAATGCTGTGGGGGTGCAGAGCGCCTTGCCTTGGGAACACCAGGATAACTCCCGCTAAGTGCTGAACTAACTCAGCCCAGCCATCATCAGTCTGGCACGGGATTAACAGAATCAGTTCTCCCCTGCATTTTGAGATGGGAGTTCCTGTTTGTAGGTAAACTCCGTGTTCCCCTTAAAATGAAACAGACCTGCTCAATTATTAAGATCGCATCACTCCCTAGTTCTGGACGCGACTCAGCTGTAGTCTGATCATGAGCCAGACTCAAAGAACACAGACACGTACCTGAAAGTCTCCTGTAAGGCTTGCTGTTGTTTTTGGTGCCGTTTTGGTGTTTCTTGTCTATGGTGGTGGACAAAATTCCTTTGCCATTTAAGATCTTCTCTGGGGAAGGTGGCACTGACTTGGACATCAAGACCGGCTTAATGACAGGCGGGGTGGAGACGGCAGAGGATGAGGTGGAGCAGGAGGGGACCGCAGGAGTGGTCGTAGAGTTCATTTTGACATTGGCACCATCTGCCTTCACTAGGTTAGGAATTTTCTCTAAACTGACTACGGGAACCGGAACACTGAAAAATAAATGAACAAACACACACACAATTGCCTTCTTTGATACATCTGGTCTGCTGAGACGATATCCCTGCTTATCGTTATCAGGACACTTCCTTATCACTTATTTATACTCCTCCTATAAGAGAGCAGCAGGATTCCAGTTTTGATGGGAGGGAGATGCACGTCTCAGAAAAGACCGACGGCGAAGCGAGGCTGGCATGGTGCCAGGGATGGCATCAGTGCTGACTGATTACCTCCTGGATCGGTTGTCCCCATAGATCCTGTCACTCCCCCATTCCTCAGTCCCCTCTGTTAGCAGTCTCCAAGACAGCACCTTGGGCAGAACAGGGTGCCCGCTGTGAAGCTCAGGAAGCGGTACAGTCTGTCCCTGAAGACGGTGTGCCATGGAGCCGCGTGCTGAATCATGTCCCCTCCCCCGCTGCTCGGCTGCTCTCCCACCCGGGCGACCGGGCCTGACATCTGCTCAGCTCGGAGTGCTGACAGGCTCACAGTACATGGAGGCAGGGCTTCGGGCCAGTGGGCCATGCTCTGCGCTGTCAGAGGACTCCTGGATCACTCATGTCCCAGGGATGGGCCGCCATGTACCATTATCTAATATTCCATTTTAGGCAGCTAGTTATGTAAATAGGCAATTCTCAAGGCTGGCAGGTGAGAGGATGAATTTTAAGAAGACAGAGCACAAAGGTATATGTTTGCTCTTCAGAATCTGTCACTCTGGCCCTGCTTCCCTGCCATTTCTCCTGTAATGGATATGCATTTAATTTCTGTGCATTTCATGCTGGAAGACCCTGTGTCTAGGGGGCGGTGGAGGACTCCGTCTCCGAGTCCTCCAGGTCTGAAAGGATGAGATGAGATGAGTAAGCTTTGCTTTAGTTCTTGAACTAGATTCCCTTTCCTCCTTGCAGGAGGGCGGAATGCAAACACTTCAGCACCCTCAAGTCATCTCTGAGCTGAGAGTGTAGCTGACTTAGCTCTCTGAATGCCAAATGGGCTAAACTAGGGCTCAGACATGCCTGCAGACAATGAAGGGCATGAAAGACATGCTGGTTTTGCAGGGGAGGAGTCTTAACTATCCTCACTGCTGGCTGGTTCTCCCTTCTCCAAGATTCATTCGCAGATTATTTCTTTGATCAATTTGTTCATGAAATTATTTCAGCAACCCCCTCAGCCCTTGTTGTTGTGGCTAGCCCTTGCCCCCTTTCTGACTTTGAAATAGGATCCCGGATGTTATTTATAGGCCTTTGCCAGTGAGAAGGGCACTCAGTGGTGAAGCACACTGCTCCCAAACCTCAGACTTCACCCCAAGACCACGTGCTTTTTTGGCCTGGGGAAGCAGGGGGTGGGACCTCAAGCCCCACATGAGAGGAAACTGCAACAGCAGTTTTAAGTAAGATACCAAGTTACTGACAGTTCTGTCTTTGATCAGCATCTCAATCACTGAGATAAAGCTACACTGCCACCACTTTCTAGTTAATGGCAATTTTCAAAGCACTCATCCTATGGTTGAAGAACAGCACAAGAAGCCCTTGAAAAGTCAACACACTAAGAAGCTGCAAAAGAGCTTGCCTGGTGAAATTAGTGCTGCATTCCCAACTTCTTCTACGTGGTAAAATACGTAAGGCTATGGGATACTAAATTCTTCCAGGCTCGTTCCTTCACTCAGTTTTAAAAGGTACAAATTACAGAAAGTAGGGTGGTGAAGAGGTATTTGTACACCGTGTTCTTAGCAGCATTATTCATAATGGCCTAAAGGTGGAAGCAACTTTAATGTCCACTGGTGGATGAACGGGTAAACAAAATGTGGTTGATACACAGAGTGGAATACTGTTCAGCCTTAGAAACGAAGGAAATTCTGACACATGGATGAAGGTTGATGACATCATGCTAAATGAAATAAGCAAGTTGGAAAAAGATTACTATTCCATGATTCCAATTGTATGAGGCACCTAGAGTTCAAGTTCATGGAGACTGAAAGTAGAATGGTGGTTGCAGGGAAGCTGTTGTTCAGTGGGTGTTAAATTGCAGTCCTGCAAGCCTGTTTACACTTAACACTCCTGAACTGTACATTAAACACGGCTAAGATGGGCTAAAATTTTGTTATGTGTGTTTCACCATAAATTAAAAAATTTTAAATGCACAAACTAGGGGAAAAAAAATCCCACAAATTATAAAACTCATGTAGCTTATTCTCCAATATCCTGATTAAAAAAAATATAAGAACCTGCTTAAAAAGCTCTTGTTGATTTGTCACCCTTATTCTAACCTGTTGACTTCTACTTATTTAGAAAAAAAGGGAAACTTCAAGTGTTGACATGCACACATGGACTCGTGGCCAGGTGAGAAGATTCTCTAGCACATGAGTGGCCTCCTCCCATATACTTCCCTGTAAAGCCAAGTGAGTTCAGGAAAGGAAACTAAGACTTTCACGTTCCAGATCCACTCTTGTCTCACGACGGGTCTAAGTGACATGCTGAGTACTCATGAGCTTAACAGACCAAGATGATATCAGGACAGGGTGATCCAGAGCAACTGTGCCAACTGAAATAAACATAAAAAAGGAGTCAAGTGGTCCCCAGATGCTCATAGCACAGCCTGCGTTTCTTCCCTGAAGTCACCGTCTAGCTCCAGTGAGCCCCATAAGACAGCCACGCGAGCTCACGTGCACCAGGTCGAGCCACCGGAACAATGCCAGGCCGGCCAACGTGTGTGACTGATCTCCTAATTTGAGATCTTCTCCACTGTGTGAGTGTGGTCCACTCACACCCTCTATGCCAGCACTTCCAGAACTCCAGCTGGACTTCAACCCCAGTGCCCAGAGACAGGATGTGAAACTGACACCCAGCAGTAAAAAGAAGGGAAGGCTGATACAAGGTCCTCTGGGATTGGAATGGGGAGATGTTAGTGAAGAAAATCTGATCAAGAATGTTCCAAAGAGCTCTAAAGACCAGATGAGTCAGTAAGGAACAGAGCCACTAAGTAAATAACCCCTGAAGTCATGTAAGTTGCCACTTGGCAGCAGAAAAGAGATTGAGTTAATGGGATAGGAACGCTAAGGTTGTCCGCTAGCTAACGGAGAAGGGTTATAGAGAGGACGAGGGCCTGAGGACCACCCCTGATCCTTTTCTCTGTATTATCCCTTCTTTCCCCAAAGGCTCTGAGCTTCCCCTTCAAGGCAACCTGCTTCTTGCCTGAGCTGAGATGGTACTTCTGCTGGGAATTAAGAGAAGACTGGGAGGCAGTCAGCTTAGTGATAGTGGGAAGGGTCGAATACATCCTCAGAGGAAATGAGACAGCAAAAAGAGAGAGAGAAGTACAGATCCTTCCTAGTTAACCTCACCAGGCTCATCCCAGCATAAATGCCAGCCATTCAGTCTCCTTTCTTCAGTCCTATTGGCAACAGCATCCAGATTCCAAATGGACGAACAAAGAGGGAAATGATTGCAAGATGGTGGCTCACAATTTTGAAAACCAACTCCAAAGTTTCCATCTTTTCTCAGTCCTGACTAACATAAGACTCTCTAGAGAGCCCCAGGTCCTGTTTCATATACATACAGGCCCCTGTATGTGTGAGGAGGACAACTGCCTGGGCACTGTCATCTCAGGACTATCTTCTCCTTTCTCTCACTGTCCCCCTTCTCACTCCCCTCACTCCTCTGCCATCACCTCTCCCAGCCAATAAACGCAGTGTTCCAGCCCTAGGCAACAGACCCTGAATAACAGGTTCACTTTTTTTTTTCATCTGGAAAGAAGTCAAAAGATTCTGATCCCTGCTGTCACAGTTTGGGCATCTCTTCCCTTTTCTGTGTCAAATCATAGACTCTCCAACACCTTCGTGCTAGGAGTTGGGTGGGGTGGAGGGTTGGCAATACCCGAGTGACTGACTAAGCAATTTATTAGTCTGTTTGCTTGGCTCTCCCTAAGGTTAACCAAAGACCCTCAAGTTCCTTCCCTTTCAAGTCTTAAGGTGTGCACTTACACACTTCCCCAGGTCTCACAATTAGCTGCATTTATCAGTCCACCATGTCCTGTCTTTGAGGAGCAATGTTTGAAAGGGAAGGAGTCCCCGCTCCTTCCCTGCTGCTTTCATAATGCCTGTTTTGTTCGCTTGGGATGAACTCTTTCAGGGAGCTCAGGGCTGCAGCTGGTCCCCCTGCTGTGTCTACTACTACTGGGGGCACTTATCTCCTTGTTATCTCGGCATCTCTGTCTCAGCTCCCTAGAAGGGTCCCATAGTCGAGAACAGTCCTTCCTTACCTTCCTTGCTGGCTCTATCAGTGCTGCTTCAGCTGCCTGTGTCTTCTTCCTGGGTACTTGGCCTGTCTGAATTTACCTTTCTGGACCAAGAAGGGTCCTCTGACTTTAAGAAAAAAGGTTCTCCTGGCCCTGAGTAGGTTCCTCTCCCTGCCCAGTGATGTCTGCAAAAGAGCAGAGATAGAGAATCTTCTCATGCCATTTCAAGGGCCACCAACGTGTCACAGGGCCAGCTGCTCTCCTGCCAGCTCTGCTTTCTTGGTAATCATGATTTATCCTTTCATCATCAACAGATAAGCCTTGTAAGAATGGTTTAGAAAATCTTTAGGCCTGTAGAAATCATTGCCAGCCCTGCTCCACTTAGCAGCACAGAGGAAAGATGGATTTGACAGGCAGGAGCCTGAGGACATATGGTATTTGTGCTGTGGGTTACATGTCTGATGAGAGTTCTCAGCTGTCTGATTTCTTCCCACCAAGTCCTTCAATAAAGACCCATGAATCTGTGCTTCTGGTCGGGCAGAATTCTGAGGATCTCTGATTTACTGGCCAATCCTTGAAAGGGTCATCTCACCCAGCTTCTTGTCTTCCAAGCAGGGACAGTAGGCAAGTCATCCCAAATTCAGACGAACTGACCCTATTTTAAAAGGTCTGCAGAGAAGGAATTCTATTTGGTTCTCTTGGATGCATTTTGGGGGTTGCCATCAGGACATGATGTCAAATTTAGATTTTTAAAATTGAAGAAATA